ATTTCCTACTGTAAAGTGGTAAGGCTGTGGTTCAAATGCCACTGGTCAAACTCCAGGGCCAGGCTCTGAGATGCTGCACTGTTTTATTTTGTATTTGGGGGCATCAAGCACAACTGAATTGAACACCTGACTTCTTCTTTCTCACCAGAGTGCTTAGGTAAGATGGGATCAGATATTTTTAGAATTATCTTCCTTCTCAAAGCCCACTCTTTCTCTTAAATTTCTGAAATCCAAGTTGTAACATCTAATATATATTTTAAGCTTTACCCAACTGTTTCATCTTTTACTACCATGGAATGATATGACAGCGGAGTGAACCAGTGGATGGAAGACCCCCCCCCGCCCCTCCTTCTCTATGTAACTCTGACTTTCAAATAAATAAATAAATATTTTAAAAAGATTTATTTAAAAAAGAAAAGTCTAGGGGGACATTTTGGGTTACTTCCTTCACTGTCTGCTATCCTTCCATCCAGTTCTTATCTAGAATAGCTCATATTCTCTCTCTCTCTCTTTTTTTTTTTGATAGGCAGAGTTAGACAGTGAGGGGGGGTGGAGAAAGGTCTTCCTTTTCCATTGGTTCACCCCCAAAATGGTCGCTATGGCCGGTGTGCTGCGCTGATCCGAATCCAGGAGCCAGGTACTTCCTCCTGGTCTCCCATGCGGGTGCAGGACCCAAGCACTTGGGCCATCCTCCACTGCCCTCCTGGGCCACAGCAGAGAGCTGGACTGGAAGAGGAGCAACAGGGACAGGATCCAGCGCCCCAACCAGGACTGGAACCTGGGGTGCCGGCTCCGCAGGCTGAGGATTAGCCTAGTGAGCTGCAGTGCTAGCCACCAGCCCTTCTTTTTAAGGCAGGTGTTAATGAGACTTTGGGTAAGGTGCAGGCTGAAGTCCTACACACTTGCATGAACAAAACACATTTTCATTCTCAGTTTTCTACAATGCTTGAAGGCAGTTGTACTTTGGAGATGGTCTCTCCTGAACACCTGCAGGGTACAGCTTTGGGACTCTGAAATCAGGATTTGGGACTTGGACCAGGATCACTGCCTCTCACACGTGTCCCTAAAGATGCAGTATTTATGGAATAGAGCTGGTTTAAAGGGGGATGCTGAAGTGAAAAATTGAGAAAATAGGCTGTTTTCAGCTGTGCTTGTAAAGCTTGGAAAATCAGGAGCCACATAGAGGATTAACCCAGTCTGTTTCCTGCTGTGCTTTTGCTAGGACAGACTCCCTGTAGGCCTTTCTGCCAGACTTTCATTAACAGAGTCCCCATCACCGACTCGAATCAGGCCCTGACTCTGGTCGGATTGCTTTGCAGGGATTTGTTCTGAGCAGGTTGGTGGCAAACGCTTCACTTTAGACATGGCCAAGAAGGAGAATGTGGTTTTGTTTGGTGGTAAAATGCAATTGCAGCTATTGGGGAAAAAATAGGAAAGGAGAGAGTTTCTGATGTGTGTTTTTAGCATGGCATTAGGACCTGTAGAGCTATAGCCTAGAAGTGACTAATTGGCTCCAGTGTAGAAGTCAGGACATGCCCTGACTTAGGTTAAGCTCTAAATAATATGTAGGGAGAAATGACTTGGTTTGGCAGTCTGCAGTGCTGCAATTTGCCCATAGGGAGAAGGAATTCAAAATTTATTAATTTCCTATTCAGGCTCTTGATCAGTTATTATGTTATGTTAGTTATCTTTATAAAAACTCCTTTGAAAATAACTTTTTTTTTATTTTTATTTTTTGACAGGCAGAGTGGACAGTGAGAGAGAGACAGAGAGAAAGGTCTTCCTTTTGCCGTTGGTTCACCCTCCAATGGCCGCCGCGGCCGGCGCGCTGTGGCTGGCGCACCGTGCTGATCCGATGGCAGGAGCCAGGTGCTTCTCCTGGTCTCCCATGGGGTGCAGGGCCCAAGCACTTGGGCCATCCTCCACTGTACTCCCTGGCCACAGCAGAGAGCTGGCCTGGAAGAGGGGCAACCGGGACAGAATCCGGCACCCCGACCCGGACTAGAACCCGGTGTGCCGGCGCCGCAAGGCGGAGGATTAGCCTAGTGAGCCACGGCGCTGCCCTAAAATAACTATTTTTTTAAGCACTCCAATTTTATAAATTAAGACACAGAAGACTTAGCACTACGTCACACGTTTGGTCATGATGGGACCCAGATCTGATATCACAGCCCACGATTTACAAGTGGCAGATCAGTGTTTTTTATACATGGCTTAATCTCAATATAGGATCTGCTTCATTATAAACACACACACACACACACACACACATATGTGTGCACATGCACGCAGCGAAAGAAATCAATGGCCCACAAGCATCTATGGAGGAAGTGTGATTATAAGGAAGACATCCTTGAGTTTACAGGGAATAAACCTTTCCTGATCAATCTCACTCCCTTCGTTGATAGTTACGGGATATAAAAAGTTGTGAGGAAAGACCTTAATAATGATCTTCTTGAGGGGCCAGCACTGTGGCATAGTGGGTAAGGCTGCCTACTTGTGACGCTAACATCCCATATGGGCACTGGTTCAGGTCCTGGCTGCCCTCCTTGCGCAGCTCCCTGTTAATGGCCTGGGAAAGCAATGGAAGATGGCCCAAGTGTTTGGGCCCCTGTTACCCATGTGGGAGACCTGGGTGAAGCTCCTGGCTTTAGTGTGGTCCAGTGCTGGCCATTGCAGCCATCTAGGGAGTGAACCAGCAGATGGACAATCTTTCTTTCTTTCCCTCTCTGTAACTCTTTAAATAGAAAGTCCTAAAACATGACTGGACTAGTAGTTGTGACAGTGGGCCATTTTTCTTATACTCTTGCCAGCTATGACCCCTTCCCTTTGCAGGCATTTCCTCCTCCCTCCTGTGACCCTGCTTAGATGTACACACTGGGACTCCATGTAAAGCTCCTGGCTCTGGGTGCACTCCTGAAGGCTGACTGTGTCACAGCTTGTTTCTGTGTTCATGCTACTGACAGAGCCCTTTACATTTTTGGAGATCTCTCTCTCTTCCAGCCACTGGAAGGCTGACAATGGCACCAGTTTTAAGTCCTGATACAACCCTGACATGTGCCTTGAATCTTTGTGGAGGGGCAAGGATGGGCTTCTGAGAAGGGTGGGGAGCTAGTGGTGGGTGTGAAGCAGTGCAGGGCAGAAGTGGAGATGAGCAGGTGGCCAAGCTAAGTTTAGGCAGTGAAGTCCAAATAGCAATGATCTGGGGTAAGATGAGAAGGCCCAGACATTCCTTGACTTGGTTGGGAGAGAGTGACCATCTCATCCAAGTGACAAGGAGACTAGGCCAGCAGCTGCTTTTGTTTCCATCCATTGTGGATCAGAGCAGCCCAACTCAGTGGTTTGAAACAATAAGGATTCAGTTAGCTTGAGAATCTGCAGTAGCTGGAGTGCAGCTGGGCTGAGGGTGGGCGCCTTGGTTTTCCCTTCTATATAGGCCTCTCTACATTCACACCCCATCCTGCAAAAGGTATGTGGGGTTTCCTCACAGCCTGGTGGTGGGGCAATCAGGGTGAGCATTCCAGAGAACCTGGCAAAGCTGCAGGCCTTTGATGGTCTCCCCTTAGGTTGCATCACTTTGTACATTCTATTTATGGAGTCAGTGCAGAGGGCTGTCCCCATTCAAGGGGAGGGAACATGAGCCTTGGTTCAGAATCACATGGTAAGGGCAGCAGGTGAGATGAAGGAGGCTCCTGTGGTCATTTCGGGAAAGTCACAGAGGCCAACAGGAGCTGCAAAGAAGAGAAAGGGGGCAAAATGTGTTCTGGGCTTTCATTTAAGGATTTGTGTCTCACTCTCCCAATGGTTTTTTAATTCCATCCACAAGTGATGGATGGGTGCTGAGGAAGTTCACAGAGAGTGTTTTGTTCTGAGAATATTGAAACTTTTTCTGATAGAGGTAGCTCCATTATTGGCTTATTTTATCCCAGTTACAGCTTTGGTGCAATGGGTGCAGTTTGTGTTCTGGTACAGACTAGGGAAGTGGAGGTCTCTTCTAGTTGGAGAGACAGCAGAGGAAGGCCTGAAGAATTTGTTCAGAATATTGTGTGTGTGTATGTGTGTGTGCACCTGTACCTTTCAGAAGGTAAGTGGTTACACAAATGAACTGCAGTTCAAAAAGGCTGAGGCACTGTAAACTAAGCCCTGGAGACCAACTCAACAAAGAGAGAGGCTTTTTGACATTTTCTGGTCTCCAGGACAGATTCAGGCCCTGGAGCCCACAAGACAAGAAGAGTGTTTTATGTAGAGCTGTCCAAGGGTTCACCCATGCTTTTGACCCTGATGGGCAGAAGAGGCATCAGGTAACAATTGCTTCCCCTGTGTCATGGGGAGCTGTGGCTCCAGTGGAGACAGGGTGAGGCTAAGACCTTTTAAAATTGCTAACTGGTATTTGATTTTTTAGAAAAATATTTTTAACTTTGAGAAATGGGTATGTGTGCACATGTGTGTGTACACACACACAAGAGCTCCCAAATGCCGAATGACTCCCCAAATGCCAGCAACAGTTAGAGCTGAGCCAGGCTGAAGCCAGGAGCTAGGAACTCATGCTGGGTCTCCCAGGTGGGTTCAGGGACCCAAATACTTAAACCATCACCTTCTGCCTACCAGGTCTACATTAGCAGGAATCTGGAATCAGTAGTGGACCTGGGACTTGAACCCCGGTACTCAGATATGGGATGTGAATGTCCTAAGTGGCTTAACTGCTAGGCCATATGTCAGCCCTTTAGCTGTCATCTCTATAATGTCACTTCTGTTTTTCCTTTAAGATGTAGGAGATAAAGGTGATATAGGAAGGAATCTTTCTAGAGAACCCACTGCCATGGGGATGATAAGCATTCAGTGGATGAGTGGTCATCCAGCCTGATTTAGGGACCAGTACCTTTTCAACAGATGCCATGGTGCAGTGCACTTTGTGAGCTTTCATGGCTGCTGAATGTATCTGAATTGGGAAGGCTGGCACCTGGTTGGGATGAACGTGTGGGTGTTTGGGGCGGGGGGGGGTAAATCTCACTTTTTAACTTGTGGTTTTCTTTCTGGATCATAACTACCTGAGAGAGTAGGGTTCTGTGCTTCTCTAAGGATGCAATATTTCTGTCAATGGCCCAACATTCCAAAATCCAAGCATCATTTGAATATAAAATAGTGTTCTAAATTGTAACTGCCTTAGGAGTAGGTACTAATTTCCAGACTTTGTTTTATTTAGTTAAAATGTCAGTCAATCAGACAAGGGTTTTATATTAAAAGTGTTTCAGGTACTGGTGGTGGAAGAATGACCAAGTTTTTGCTTGCAAGTCATGAGCTTATTTTGGTGAGAAATATTTATCAAAATAAATGAAAGCATTTATGTGCAGATGATTTGGAGAATTGATAAGTGCTATGAGGGAAACAAACAGTAAAATAATAGAAATTGATCTAAGTGGTCATCAGGAGGGTCTTTCGGAAGGGTAGCATTTGAAAAGGAAATAGCCATCAGAAGACCATCAGAGCGAGACAAGAATGCAAGGACGCTGGCGCTGCAGCTCACTAGGCTAATCCTCTGCCTGTGGCACCGTCATCCTGGGTTCTAGTTCCGGTTGGGGTGCCGGTTCTGTCCTGGTTGCGCCTCTTCCAGTCCAGCTCTCTGCTGTGGCCCGGGAAGGCAGTGGAAGATGGCCCAAGTGCTTGAGCCCTGCACCCGCATGGGAGACCAGGAGGAAGCACCTGGCTCCTGGGTTTGGATTGGTGCAGTGTGCCGGCCATGGTGGCCATTTGGGGGGTGAACCAACGGAAGGAAGACCTTGCTCTCTGTCTCTCTCTAACTCTGCCTGTCAAAAAAAAAGTGCAAAGACATAGCAACTGGGCTATGATATGATATATATATCATACACACACACTTTCTCTATATATATACTTATATATAGTAATGAGTTTGGTTTACTGTAAGAGCAGTGAGGAGTTACTGGAGGGTTTCCACATGCAGGTAGTGAGATGTGGTTTAGTGTTTAGGAATATCACTCTAGCAGTGTGAAGAATGGACTGTAGAAGAACAAGATGGAGGCAGCAGGCTGACCCAGTGGCTTAGTTTAGGATGTAGCAGTGGAGATGGTGAACAGTGATTCAATGTCTGCTGTGTTGTGAAAGCTGAACCAGTGAGATTCACGTGTGGTTTGGGTGTGAACTGGAAGTAAACATGGAAAACTGTTAGCTTTTTGACCCAAGGAGCTGAGTGAATTGTCAGACCGTTTTCTGAAAATGGAGAAGTGAAGTTAATGCTTGATTAGGCCAAGTTCAGAGTGGTAAATAGATGTCTTAAGTGAAAGTGTTGATTTGACTGCTGGATGTCTAGTTCAAGGTGGAAATCAAGCCTTGAGTTACAGATTCGGGACTTAGCAGCCTAAAGATGGCATTTAAATTATTAGAATGGATAGGATCACCTAGGGGGAGAGGGGAGAGGAATGAAAAAATGGGAAGGCTAAACACTAGCTCTGTGGTTTGCTGACATTTAGAGATCTAGCAACTGCAGAAAGGTTGTGATGATTGGAGGAAATGCAGGCAGATGTGGAGTTCCGGGAACGAGGAGAAGCAAGTCCTTCAAGAAGGACTTCCTGATCAGCCCCCTCCAGTGCTGCTGGTAAGGCTTGCAGAGTGAGAACTGAGCACAAACTCTGGGCTTAGACGATCCTGATAAAAGCCATCTCAGTGGAGTGATGGGGACAGAATGAGATATAGAAAGTAGGTAACATTGGGTGTGGAAATTTTATAGGAAAGTAAACAAAAGAAATAGAGAAGAGCTGGAGGGGAATGCATGATCAAATGAAGTTTCCCCTTTTTTTCTAAACAGGAAATATTAATACATGACTTTCCAGGGGAGGAGGCAGAAAGGAGAGAGGGAGGGAGGGAGGGAGAAAGAAGATGACAAAGGCACATAGCCAAGGCAGTGTATTAGATGATGTAAGATGAAATTATTTTATTTTTAATTATTTTAATTTTATTTATATATATTCTTTCTCTTTTTGGAAGTGAGGTTGTCAAGAGTGAGAAGGAATCTATTTCACTAGGGACAGTAGTAGTCATGACTGTGAAAGTTGGATGTTGACGTGAGTTTTGAGGACATAAAACAAAATTAAGACCAGTTAGCATGATTATGGATTTTCTTATGGAATGATTTAGCTCCCAGTGTTAGGCAAATGTATCTTTAAAGTGACAGATAAGCTATTCTTGTTCTTGTGGGCCATAGCTTCTGTCTCTCTCTCTCTTTTTTTTTTTTTGACAGGCAGAGTGGACAGTGAGAGAGAGAGACAGAGAGAAAGCTCTTCCTTTGCCGTTGGTTCACCCTCCAATGGCCACTGCGACCGGCGTGCTGTGGCCGGCGCACAGCGCTGATCCAATGGCAGGAGCCAGGTGCTTAGTCTGGTCTCCCATGGGGTGCAGGGCCCAAGCACTTGGGCCATCCTCCACTGCACTCCCTGGCCACAGCAGAGAGCTGGCCTGGAAGAGGGACAACTGGGACAGAATCCGGTGCCCTGACCGGGTCTAGAACCTGGTGTGCCAGCGCCGCAAGGTGGAGGATTAGCCTATTGAGCCGCAGCGCCGGCCAGCTTCTGTCTCAATATTCAACTCTGCCATTATTGCATAGAAGTAGGCATAGATAATGTAGAAGTGAATGAATGCAGTTGTATTACAATAAAATTTACTCAAAAACTGGCAATCCATTTGGTGCAAGATGATTAATTTCTTCTGGTTTATCTGCTTGAGTGTGCAGGTACAGGCAGAAGATATGGGGTGTCAGTAGTCTCTTCTGCCAGCAAGTATGATGGAATAAGAAAAGGTGCTAGAAGATCAAGCGTGTCTCCAAGAGATCTAGGTAAATGTGTTGTGCCATGGACTGTGAGTGGGTTAAGAGAGAAATGAGGATATGGGGGCAATGATGGAAAATGCAAAGAGGCCAAATCAAGAATTCCAGGTCTCTGTAAGATCAGAGAATGGCAGAGATTGAAGTGCTAGGCTCAGTTTGCTGAAAGTTGGAAGGTGGGGGATGGATAAAGGGAAGTATATGTAATAGAGACTGCTCAGAGGTAGAGTAGTTACTGGTGGTCTGGAAGGCAGGGGAATGGAATGGAACAGGAGGAAAGATTAATGAAATGAAGAAGAGAAGTTGTTGAGTTGAATCAGCAATGTATTTTCCAAGAATGGTGATGTATGAGGATACTTCAAAAAGTTTGTGGAAAATGGAATTAAAAGATAAATTTATCTTGGTGCCAAAATTTTTAAAATTGGAAAAATGAGGTATCTTCAAAAACTTTGTAGAAAATGTGTATTGTGAAAAAACACCAGGTACAGATTGCATTTTTTTTCCTCCAAAATAGACATCTTCTGGTATCATCTTCCACAGACTTTTTGAAGTGCCCTTGTGAGTGTTGCTGAAAAGGAATACAGTGATCTGGACTCTACTGTATTCAGTGAGTGAGGAAGAGTGACTGTGTGGTCGGCAGGTGATCGCAACAATGAAGGCAACAAGGGGTAAGTTTGAACTTAGACTTCAGAAGCACCGGGATTTATGAGGGAGGGAGGGACACTTCACTGGGGAAAATGAGGCTCCTGAGCCCAGCTGCAGGCATGGTGGACAAGGCCATCACGGGGAGGACTGCAGGATGTTTGCTGTGCACAGTGACAAGCTGGTGTCCTCTCAAGAAAAGGGAAAGGAAGTTCAGCTCAAGACCACACCCTAGGAGAATTTACTGACGGTTGAGTATGAGTTCCAGTGATGGTACAGGCTGTCCTGTCAGCTGGAGAGGAGGTGGCCCCTGAGCATACGTGACAGACAGCTTGGGATGGTGGCTCTGTCCTGGAGGGACCGGGAATGGGTGGGTAGTGTGGCAGTTGGGAGAACAGGGCAATGAAACCTCGGGTCAACTGCCTCCCTTTTCTTTTTTTTTGAAGTGCTTTTAAAGTGCATTTTAAATAGACTTTTTAATTCACAAATAGTTGCATATATATATATATGATGAACAATAGAATTTTTTAAAAATCAAGCTAATGCATACATCCATCATTTCACTGATATATTCTCTTTTTTTATGGTGAGAATGATAATCCACTGTTTCAGAAACATTTAATCTCACAGTGTATTATGAACTGTGGTCATCGTGCAGGGCAGATGCTCACTGAAGCTGATTCCACAGTCTCACTGAAACTTTGAACCCTGCCATCAGTATCGCCTTTTGCCTCATACCCCTCCCCTCCCACCTCTGAGAACCACCTTCCTGCTCTGTTTCTATGAGATCAGCATTTTAAGATTTCACATATGAGGATACTATAAAAAGATCATGGGAAAAGCTTGTTATGAAAAAACATACATGGATTTCAAAATTATTTTGTCTAAAAATAGACTTACCTTTTAATTCTGTTTTTCTGTGAGCTCTTTGAAGTGCACCCTCTCATGAGTGAGATCATACAGTATCTGTCCTTTTGTGCTTGGCTTATGTCTCTGGGCATGATGTCCAATTCCTTTTACTATATGAAATACAATGACCAAATTAAGCTTGTTCAGAAATCTAAATTGAGGTGACTGGAACCATGTTTGAATAATTATAAAGAAATTTTTTAGCAGTTATGGTTAATTAACATTAGTTTACGTCTTTCTTAAATTGAGGAAAATTGTGTCCTCACTGCATTTTGTGACGGGGTTGAAAGTTTTCCAACCTGCAGTGGATTCTTCAGCTTTGGTGCGCAGGAAGTCACACAAGATGTGGTGTGACATTGCCACCTGACCAAAGGGAGAAAAGTTCGTGGAGTTGCTCCTAACTGTGGCTCTTTGGAACTACTCTGGGGGAAACTGAACTACGTAGTAGAACATATTCTAGAAATGTCTTTGCACTAAGGTCGAGAGACACGTGTTGGGACCTGGCCTCCTGAGGCTGTTTTCCCTTGGAAGAAGAAAGTCTGATAAATGCAGCAGGGAGAGACCCCATGTGGGGAGGGGTGTCCAGTGACGGGCTGTGGCTGACAACAGTGGAAAGTGAGGGCTGCGTTTTGTGTCCCTGTGATAGTGGGTATATTTTAACTTGATATTTCCTTTGCCAGCAATATGGAAAAGAAAGGAGAATAATATCATATGATAATGTGATATAGGACACTGGGTAATTAGGCCACAGAAATAAAATTTTAATTGTATAATTACATTCTTAAGTTGGACGTTTGCCTTACTTGCTATTTATCTGCATAGGAAATTTATTTAAAAAAAATTGTTTATTTGAGAGGCAGAAACAGAGAAGGAGGCAAAGGGAGGGAGAGGGGAAAGGGAAAGACCTTCCATCCACTGATTCACTCCCTAAATGGCTGCAATGATCAGGGCTGGACCAGGCAGGAGCCAGGAGCTTCTTCCAGGTCTCCCACCTGGGTGCAGGGGCCCAAGGACTTGGGCCATCTTCTGCTGCTTTCGCAAGTGCATTATCAGGGAGCTGGAACAGAAGTGGAGCAGCTGGGATTCAAACCAGCACCCATAGGGGATGCTGGCATAGCGTGCAAAGGCCTAACATTCTATGCCACAGTGCTGAGTCAGGCAAACTTTTATGAGCCATTTTTGTGAACTTTTATATACTTTTTGTGGGATGTGGCTGAGGCACAGTGGAACTTAAAACTGGATGCAAAGCCACATGTTCTACTCAGACACCTGCTGCTAGACTCTGATAGAATTTACTGAGAGGTACTAAATCACTTTGACTTTGTAATTCTCTCTCTCTCTCTCTCTCTCTCTCTCTCTCTCTGTGTGTGTGTGTGTGTGTGTGTGTATCACTGTTGTATGAGGAAAGGATTTCAGAATACTGCCCAAAATAAATGGGAACTGGGTTAAGTCTCTTGGGGGATTCCTGAAGGCAGTAGAATGTGAGGATGATTCTGGAATTGCAGAGGATAGCAGGCTCTTCCCTTAGGACTAGCACTTGTGCTCACATGGGATGCCAGCACCACAGGTGGAGGCTTAGCCTACTATGCTACAGTGCCAGCCCCAGCCCTCCCTTGATTTCTACAATGATCTACTTTCAGTTTAGTTTACACTCATAAGATTAACCCTACACCCTACACTAAGTAAAGAGTTCCACAAATAGAAAACACTATTCCTCAATGGTAGAGAAAAGGGCTATAGTCATTGAATCTCAAAATGTCAATTTCACTGCTAGACATTACATTTTTGCTACTGTGTTACCACGGATCATGGGAAACCTGATGTTTGTCAATTTGGGACTGGCTTGTTTCACTAAATATAATCGTTTCCAGTTGCATTCATTTTGTTAAAGACAGGATCTCATTTTTTTACAATTGAGTAGTATTGCATATTACATCTATGACTATATCTATACCACAATTTCCTTTATCCAGCCATCAGTTGACGGACATCTGGGTTGATTCCATACCTTAGCTATTGTGAACTGAGCTGCAATAAACATGGGAGTACAGATAACTCAAATGCTGATTACATTTCCTTTGGGTAAATTCCCAGAAGTGAGATGGCTGGATCATATGGTAGGCCTATACTCAGATTTTTGAGGTCTATCTCCATACTGTCTTCCATAGTGGCTGCACCAGTTTATATTCTTGCCAAGAGTGGATTAAGTACCTTTTCCCACACATCCACACAAGCATTTATTGCTTGTTGATTCTGTATGAGAGCCATTCTAACTGGGGTGAAGTAAAAACTAATTGTGGTTTTGATTTGTGTTTCCCTGATGGCTAGTGATTCTGAGTGTTTTTTCATGTGTCTGTTTGCCATTTGAATTTCCTCTTTTGAAAAATGTCTGTAGAGTCATCCAGTCTGTTCAACTAGATTATTTTGTTGTTGAGTTTCTTGAGCCCAATTCGAGTTGATGACAATCAATTGACCATAAATGTATGCATTTATTGTGGACTCTAAGTTCCATTTCATATATATATGAAATATATATATAATTAATATAATACATAAAAATAAATATAAAATATATATATCTGTCCTTATGGTAGTACCACAGTGTTTTGATGTTAGGAAATGTGTCTTTTTAAAATTCTTTTTAAAAATTTTTTCTTATTTGACATGTAGAGTTATAGACAGTGAGGGAGAGAGAGAGAGAGAAAGGTCTTCCTTCCATTGGTTCACTCCCCAAATGGCCGCTATGCCCAGTGCTGTGCCAATCTGAAGCCAGGAGCCAGGAGCTTCTTCCTGGTCTCCCATGTGGGTACAGGGGCCCAAGCACTTGGGCCATCCTCCACTGCCCTCCCAGGCCACAGCAGAGAGCTGGACTGGAAGAGGGGCAACTGGAACTAGAACCCAGCACCCACATGGGATGCAGGCCCTGCAGGCAGAGGATTAACCAAGTAAGCCATGGCGCCGGCCCCAGGAAATGTGCCTTTCAACATTATTCTTCATTTTCTTTTTTAAAAAGATTTATTTATTTATTTGAAAGTCATAGTTAGACAGAGAGAGAAGAGGCCGAGAGAGAGGGCTTCCATCCTCTGGTTCACTCAACAATTGGCCGCAACAGCCAGAGCTGCACGGATCCAAAGCCATGATCCAGGAGCTTCTTCCTCTGGGTCTTCCCATGTGGGTGCAGGGGCCCAAGGCCTTGGGCCATATTCTGTTGCTTTCCCAGGCCATAGGAGAGAACTGATTATCCTTCATTTTCAAAATTGTTTTTCTATACTGGGCCCCTTACATTTCCATATGAATTTTACAGTATCTACATCAACTTCTGAAGAAGAGGCAGCTCGAATTTTTGTAGGACTTAAAAAGTTTATCTTTCTAAAACTTTGGGGAGTATTATATTAACAATATTACATTTTCCAACTCAGGAACACAATATGTTTCTCCATTTTTGTAGATATTTAACTTTTTACAATTATGTTTTGCAGATTTTAGGTTTCTATGTTGAAATCCTTTTGAAAATTTTATTCTTATATTTTGATAGCAATTATAAATGGAATTGTTTTCTTCATTATTTGTTCATTGCTAACAGTAGAAATACAGTTCATTTTGGTGTATTGCTCTTTTATCTTGCAGCCTTGTTGAACATGTTTATTAGTTTCTTATGGATTGCCTAGGATTTTTCTCTACTTAAGATCATGCTGTGTGAGACTACAGATAATTTTACTTCTTTTCCAAAGAAGTTGCCTTTTTTCCCTTTATATTGCGTTTTCAATTACCCTGTCTAAAGCCTACAATATAATGTTGAATAGAAGTGGCGAGAGCAAAAATACTTGTATTTTTCCTGGTCGTGGAAGGAAAGCTTTCAGTTTTTACTACTTAGATATCATGGTAACTGTGGGTTTTTCATATTTATCCATTGTCAAAATTGAGTTTATCTTCCATTCCTAGTTTGTTGAATTTTTTTTTTTATCACAAAGGGCATTAAGTGTTCTCAAATACTTTTTTCTTTCTATAAAGTTGATTTATGGATTTGTTTCTTATTCTATTAACATGATTTACTACATTAATAGATTTTTTTCATGCTAACTACCCTTTCATTCCTGGGATAAATCTGTTGCTCACA